AATCATGGGTTAGGATTTGCACCCGGTCGAAAGAAACCTTGCTATCGCAAGAGTAACTCCAGCTAGCTTCGCTAGCTTTCGTGATCAAACAAAAAAATATCTATATATTTTTGTTTTTTTTGTTATTTGAAATCGATGGTCGATTTATCGAGGAATTATATTATGGAATGGGTTCGCCTATTCTATATTGTTTTGAAATCAATCGTGATTGTAGAGGTAGTATCAAAGCCTGACCTTCTCCCTACACTTTTGTGATTGCAGTCCCATGGCACCTCGCCAGGCATCTCCCCAGCTGGCTCTTCCGAGGGCACATCCTGCCACAATTTGTTTGACATATCATGGACTGAAATGCAAATCGAGGAACATCTCAACATGCATGCCTGCCCAGTTGGCTCTTGCAGCTTGGAGACATCCTGCATGTTTCTTCTATCTGCACTCTACTGACAATGTACATAAACAAGATCTATAGAATTGAGCGGAGTGCTGACTAGTGTGGAGTGAAGCGTTTAAACCAATTGCGGCATTGAGTATACTGAGTAGGCACTAGGTGGGGCTGGTATCCTATGGACCGGATGAGGTGAAGAGAGATTCTGGGAGTGTTGAATCGTTGAATCATTTCTTTCAAAATTTTGAGAGCCCGTGGTGCTAACTTGGCCCTGCCCTCAGAATTCCAGGCAAAATGACAGACATCCACTTTGTTAGCCACACAGTGGACAACCGCGCCTTGGCAGCAGGCACTTGCTGTGTGGCAGGTGAATCCTGAAGATGTAGATGTGTTTTCTTTCATTACAACACATCTGCTTACCACATTTAGCACCCTGAGCCATGGTATTCCTCTTTCCCTACAGCCACTCACAATATGTTGGATCATTTATCACAATGGGATTATAAAGTAGCGCCAGGCCTGTCCGACTGGGTCTTGCTTCTGCGCAGCCTGTGCAGCTGGAGTGTCCTAACAGGCCATCCAAAGTTAAAGGCTTTCTAAAAATCTAGGAACCAAATCAGTAGTGCGAACGCTTCTTCAAGGGCGGGGGAGCTTCTTTGGAGAAACGTGAGCTGTCCTGCGTCCATGTGTAGTAGCGTAAGTAGCTGGTAGCTTACTCCCTTGCTTCATTAAGCAGGCGCCAGTAAGGAGGCAGGGCCACAGGCTAAAATAGAAAGGCGTTGCACTGCTTCACACACCTGCACAACTGGCTCCGTTTGCTGTGCCACGGGTGCATCCTGTGACGGAAAGCTGACCAAAAGCCATTGGCACCCAGTGTAGCATTCACAGTAAGCCAACACAACCAAACAAAATATCGGACCCATGGAATGTTTGGTTAGATCTTCCCTTCTGGCTGTATCTCCTGCCTGGACAACTGGCTCTTTCCGACCAAGTGCGTCATCCTGCAAATTGGAGGTATGTCGGATGGGAACACATCTTTGCATGCCGGCCGGCATTGTGTACTCATTTCGAATCTGCTGCGCCTTGCCAAGAGGCTCTTGCTGCTGTGCCCCAGATGGATCCTGAAGCTATGCCAGCTCAATGTGTCGTACAAAATATAGCCGTTTCACATGAAGTCAGTCATTGCAGGCTGAGACCAAACATTCCTCTTTCCTTTGGAAAAAACTTTGTTCAATCCCTACAACCTCCAATCACTGACAATATTTTGATCCATCAAAACGGGTCTGCATCAAAACAGGATGTTCAAAATGGCAGCCTGGCCAACTGACTCTGGTTTCTGCGCAGCAGGTTGCGCAGCGGCAGGTTGCGCGGGAATACTTTTCCCAGCAGCAGGTTGCGCAGCGGCAGGTTGTACAGCAGGGGCATCCTCAGCAGGAGGCCCTTTTGGATTCGACCAAGCTCGTTGGCAACAAAATCCAAGTCCAATGAGTGCAAAAGAATACATAGCAATCATCACAGCATGTAGCAATGTAGCAGTGAAGTACGCCTTCTCCACTATCTTTTGTTGCTTCGAACCACCGGTTGCCTGCCAAATCAAAACTACTTGGCATGATCCTATGTCTCACAAAATGTGAGGTTGAGCCTCTCTTCGAGGGCGCTGCTTTTCAGCTTCATTCGTATCAAAATCCGCCCGCGCCGAAGGCGCTGAGGCGTTGTCTTAGGTCGCATAAGCCGCTAGATAGCATAGCTTGAGCTTGAGTTTGGGTCGGTCATTTTCTAGATGTCGGTTATGCTGCCCGAAGGAACTGCATTATTAACATCGTGTGTGCGTGCTACTCCGTGTGGCCATTGGAGCAAGTCTTTGGCGATGTCGGTTGCGCTGCCGGAGGGACCTGCATTACTAACATCGTGCGTGCGCTTTTGTGGCCTTCTTGAAAGAGCTATTTTCTTGGCAAGTAGGCGGTAGAGCTACCAAAATGGTGACCCTCGGAGCGTGGTAGGTCAGCACATCTTCTTCGCTTTCGTTGACTTTGATCGATCGGACAATCCAACGAAGCAACTGACCTTCACAATCTTGGCGCCACCCTGAGTTGCATGACGACAGTTCACACGCCCTGTGACTGTTGGCGCGGCAGAGTATAATAGAGAGGCCGGCGCGCACCGTCTCTGAGCACAATTGGTATGCAGTTTGGTGCCAGAAAAAACCCGAGCGAAAGCAGAGGTCGAAAACGTATAAACTTTATGGATCCAGTTTTTGGCCAACCACTCCGTTCAACAGCTTCGGGACGCGCCAGATTTCCAGTCCGGGGATCTGAAGGAAGAGCTTCTCACACCAGTTCCACAGGACCTACAACAAGTGTGCATGGATGTGTTCGTCGCTTTGTCGTAGATGGAAAAAGGACCAGAGCGGAGCGCAACTGGCCTAAAATAAGGCAAACTTAAAGCACAATAGCCCACGCGTTTCTCTGTTCATCTCTGTTCTCTGAACAGCGTGAATAGGTTTCTTTAGGGCATGTCTCTTAAACCTTCTTGAGCAATGTTGTGGGTCTTGAAGCCATCTTTGCCGCCGCGCCGTGCCACTTCTTACGCTCGTTCGGGCCAGGTCCCACCCTCCTCGAGACCGAGAAGACGCGCTCAGTGAAGGCTGCCAAGCATCTTCTGGAAATCACCCAGCCATTGTGCCCGCGTCTGGTGTGGGTGAGCCTGTGACGTGACAACGACTCCAAGCATTCTGCCAGCTTGCCGCATGGTCAGGCGCGATGCTGCAGATCATTGTGAGCAGCTCCGTACTGCCAGACGGCAGCGTTGACAAGTAATTCAGCCATACAGTTCGGGTCTGTGGCTGCAGTGACAGCCATGTTATCAATGCCCAAACAGACCGCCACATCGGCGTTTGCACCGCCCGCGCTGGATGGCCACCTCACTGAAGATTGCCGCTCGGTCCGCGAAAGGGACAACTAGACACATCAATGGTTCTTGCACGCCTTTCTGCGCCACCTTGCTATTCGCAAAACTTGTCGGCGAAGCCGCCGTTTTCTGCACCTTTTTCAAACTTTTCTTCGGACTGGCCTCCCGCTTGCCCATGACGCCTCCAGCGCACTAATCTCGCCTCCGAGAGCACAAGTCCCCAAACAGTCCCCGATCTGTCTTTGAGCCAACATACCATCGTGCATCCGGACGTCCTGCGTCACTGTTCTATGGTCTATGCTGCCAGAAGAAGTCCTGCGCACCGCGTTTGTCTTCCAATCCGGTCCCGGCCCGGCAGAGTTCCCCTTACCGACGTCTCTCTTTTACCCCGCACGCGTTCTCCGCGCGACCTCAGCTGCATCCGCTGCAGCCACCGACGTCCATCGAGTTCCCCATCGCTGCTGCTTCCCTAACCAATACTAAACCTGGCACCGCAACTGCTGCTAAACTAACCCAAATGTTCATTTCTTTCTTACTTGCACCTACCCCTCGTTGTTTCCATGACCGTCTTTTCCTCACGGTACACTTCTTCTGACGCTTTGAGCCCTGGGCCGCTCAGCAGACCGCTTTCGCTTTCGTTGACTTCGCTCGATCCCGGCTAAGAGAGCACAAGTATCCGTGCGGGTGGCTTCGACCGCGAAGCGGTGTGAATACATCGCAAAGCACAACAGGCACTGTCCAAACTCGTCAGAGATTTTGAGCACACCTCGCCTCCGCACGAATCTGTTTGCAGATGTCATCCCTGCTAAGTTTCAGGACATCAGAACCTCAAAAGTGGAGAGCGCCAAGAGAAGCACATCAGAAAAAAAGAAGCACTGCGCTGCAGCAATGTTCCTCGCCACTTTCTATGTTCCAAATTTCACAGGTCCAACAATCGCTCGCTCCCTATATATTTGACAATCAAGGATAAAACGGTTAGCGGTTTGCAAATGCCTGACAAGCTGACAGAAAGGAGGACCATTTCAAGTTCAGCACAGGGTCCAGGAGCCATGCAAGCAAATTCCAAGCAACAATGACCTGTTCCAATGGTCCGTGCTTCTGCGATTCATGCAGTTTCCTATCAGGAGTTTCTGATGTGTGAATCCAGGCCCTGTCTCTGTTCTCAGGCTCAGCCTCCACTACAGGCCCGTGATCAATCAAGAGACGGAAGTGCGGACCGAAGCAGGGGACATTCGACAGGCTCAGTCGACGTTCAGTAGCGGCCTCACTTTTCACACCAACTCGCTGACTCGCTGTTTGCGCGTGATCGTGCAATGGCCCTTCTCAAAGACAGAAACTCTGGAGTTTTGCATGCGACAGCCAGAGGCGAAAAGAGGCACGCTAAAGGGATTGCGGGAGAACTCGTGCAGCCTATGGTTCCTCCCAGGCAAAAGCCTGGTCTGCAGGACATGCAGCAAACAAGGCACCGGTTTGCAAGTGTGTCGAGGCAAGCTTTGGGAAAACTAAGTCCTTCACCCGCTGCCTTCAAACGCACCTGATAAGGAACAACAATAGCATGGAACAAAACGAACTGACGAAAAATGGCAATGAAGCTCTACTGCAATCTTCCGTCTGTCTTTCTCCACAAATGGTGGAGCAACTTCATTAAGCTCAGCACCTTCAAGCGATAGTACTCATAGTCATTCAGCTTCATGGGCACCTCATACTCATTCTGTACACTCCAAGTGTGGTGCTCTTTACCACCATCGCTTGCAAGGTGTTTTCAGTCTCAAGGCCTGAGGCGGTGCTGAAGGCCTCAGGATGTACATCCATCTGATATTCCACACCCACAATGCACCAAAAGTTAAGAAATTTTGCTTCGATTCACCGCACACAATCGGGACAGTTCCAACATGTCTGCTTAACCTAAAACTGCGGGCCTTTGGGGCAAGCGGTAGTAGTCAGCAATGCCACACACGTACAGCTTCTGCGGCAAAGCGTGAAATGTCTGAACAAGATTTCCAAGCTGCCTGATCCTTGCCACACCTCCAGGATCTTCAAATCGTACCGGCCAAGTTGTTCCGGTGGATGCAACGAATGGGACCTAAACTCGGTTAGTTGATGGAAGGTCATCTGACAGCACAGGACAAACTCCCTGCTATCTTGCCCCAAAGCCCAATTAAGTTCCTGGGGCGCACACTCTGTGAGATTCGCCACTGCCACATCTGCTCTGTACCATCCGAAAAAAGTCACCGCCAACACAACCTCAGAAGAATTACCACTCCGTTCCATGCACTAAGTCACTACGTGTATGTGTAAATACAGCGGGCGATCATAGCTGTTTTGTGGAGATATGTCTTAGTGTCTCGTGTATGCACAGGCCACCTAACGGCACAACATGACTTTCCTCTGCAATACTTGATAACCTACTTTGGATACCTTGCTCACAACCTACTCTATCATTCACTGTACACTGTATAGTCTAGTTCAGGCTGGCCACCGCCTGCCGTGTCTGTAGGTAAAACACTCCAGCACATTCTTACGTTGCGCATAGCGGCAAAGATCAAATCAGCATGAGTGAGTGCACACTCAAATTTGCAAGTGGTTCTACAATGGCCGTGTGTATGTGTGGGTGCTGTAAGGTCCCTGACAAGTGCTGCAAGTGCGGGGTGATTACCGGGTATTTGTGCTGGTCATAGGTGGGGTCATGCGAAGGCAATTCCACTCAGGAAACATCACTGGGGAACGTCACTCGGGTTTTGAAAATCTAGTGACACGTTCCGACTATGCAATAAACTACACATGGACCTAGTTGAGATCTGTTCTTATTGATTATGTAAGGAATGTTGTAGACGCCGTAGCATTTCTTGCATCATGGCTGCGTTTGGGAAAGTGAATCTTGGATGCTGTTGATGCAGAAAGAGATACAGTAAATGGACTAGTGGCACCAGCTTCCACAAGTCGTGAACTGTGTGGGGATAAAGTCTTTGAATTGTTGGATGGTTGGATGCCCTTGGCCTTTATAGTGATAGTTCCGGCCGGCAACATTGTCGACATGTTGTTATATACCAACATGTCTAGTTTTCCAGCGGCGTTTCAAAGGTCTGCTTCTCAAAGTCCAAGTTTACCTTCACAGCTTAAAGTGTCCTGCTGTGTTTCGATGCTCCCTTGCGCAAGTCCAAGCCTCTGACGGCTGCAGGCAGCGCAGCCACCAATGAAGCGACAATCCCTTCAATATTCAAAAGGAAGCGACAGTTCAATAAGAAAGCGACAACAGGATGGGGCGATTCTTGTTTCCAAAGGAGCTCTTGTAAGGACTAGTGAAGGTCATGACGTGCATATTGCCAAAACACCCCACCCGTTTGGGCCTGGTAGCGATGGCTCCCTCCGTTGGTGAGGGGTACAAATTGGGCCATGGAACCCCCGATGATATCCGTGAGTCGTCCTGTGACTCTGGTCGAGGCTTTGCATTTGATGAAGTTCCAGGTGCTTGTGCACGAGCTTTCTACAGTCATACAGCCGGCAAATTGTTCTGGAGCTTTGAGGTTGCCTTCTTACTTTCTGCGCAACTTATGCGTCCTGAGACCAGGCTACTTTTGCGGGCAAGCGCCCACTATGTCCAACTTGCTGTCAAGCTGGCTGTGCTGTATTGTACAAATGGGCCCTGTCAAACCTTCCTTTCAGACTCTCCTGCCAAGTCCTCTTCCTCGGCCACATGGACCACTTCAAACTTATCTGATACCTTAGTCTTATATATATATATTAAGAGCTATCTACCTCGGCCACTTGGGCCACTTTGGCCACTTGAAAGTGGCCAAATCAAATAGCGCACCTCCTGCGTGCCCAATGAGGCATGGTGAACTTGATCATGGGGCTTCCATCCTTTTTGAGCCAGTGAGTCTATTCGTGTAAATACCCTGCCATCGAACATCAACGGCTGAACCTGTCTTGAGAGCATACCCGTGCAATGCGCACATGCAACCTGAACGCTCAGTCCCCCAATGGCTGGGTCTCCCTTTGTAGACTACAAGGTAGGATCATTGCTGTGCTCGGGCGTTAAGAGATTCGCCTGCGCAAATGCGCGTTCTCCCATCTGTGCCAGGGGCCACTGGGGGCCACTTGCGTGTCCAATGTGATTCTGAATTTCATTTGTTAGGTTCGTGTTCGAGTGTCACCTTCATTTTCGGGTGCTAGGGGTACTCCCTTCTGCAAATAAAATGGTGAGCCTGGTAGGAACGGGTAGAGCAAACAGAGCAAACTTCTTTCATCACATTTTGCACAGTCGCTTTAAAGCGACTTGGAACCCCCCAAGGTTGCCACCGGCCATCACTGCACTTCCTCCAACACAGCCGAGGTGCCGTGCCTCGGTGCAAATGAAATGTATAGTGTAGAATCATATAGAATCTATATATGTAGAAACTCTTCGACGGGGGGTTACCGGCAATTGTTCATCTCATCATGTACTTTTTTCTTCCCCTATTTTCTCCCTTTTCTTGTTTCAAAAGCCAAAGGTTGGTACGACCAACAGTTTCTCAGACGCAAGCCCATGTCGCGCAAACCACTCCAAGCAAGGCCGCTTCCTTTGGCTGTGTCTCACCATAACTTTGCAAAATGACCATTATGCGAGCTGTAACTGGGTGCGCACCACGATTGAAGACCAGGCCCAGAAGCCTTCGTTGAAGTCGAACTGGACTGCATTTGAACCGCCAAAGGCAAACGCCGCCTGCACCCTTGTTGAGTCTGGAAGCCTGGAGAAAAGAATCTCTCAAAACGGAACGCTGAACCCAGCTGCTCAAAGTCTGCGAGCTCCTCTGGAGAACTGAGCGCTTGTGGTTGTGCAGAAACTCGACCTCATGCCAAGAAACTCGACCTCATGCGTTTGTTGAAAGAAATCTACTATTCTTCCTGAGTAAGTTGCGAAGCTCATCTAAACCTGCAAGAACTGGTAGAAGTCGTCCAAACCGCCAAAGCGTGGACCTCTCCAGCAGCTCGGTGGAACGACTCTCGTGGGACTGGCTCTGCTTGAAACTCTCCTCGCAGCGCTCACATGCATTTTTCTGCGCTGGAAGGATCCAAACCAACGACACTAGCATTGCTTTCACAGCATGAAATCAATGGTGGAGATTGTGGCTGCAAATCGGCGGGCATAGCCCCTTCTTATCGTGCGACTTAGTCAGAGCTTGTTTACAAGCCACTCACATTCTGGAGCTTGTCCGGGAAGGCCTGCAAACACTGGAAGCACTGAGAAGCTCCAAGCAGTCTGAAAATGAGATCTCAGCATCGTTGCAAGAAGACTCAAATCATTTTTCTGAGAAATGCAAATCTCTGCTGCACCACTTTTTCTCACAAGTTTGTTGGTTTCGCAGATTGTGAGGCAAATGGCGGCGGAGCAATGGACTGCGGCACACGAAGGAGTGTCACCTGCCGAAACCCAGTTCATTCTGTTGCGAAACAACTCTCGTAAAGTTTCTAAGAATTTAATCCTGCTTTGCTGCAACCACGATTTTTGTAACAAATCATTTGCATATATCATATCAATATGCCCAACCACTTGCAAATGTCTCAAGCATGCTTCTGATGGTCCCCACTGGCTGTGTCTACTCTACGAAGAACATGTCGATCTCGCAAGCTCTGCCGAGTGAACTGTGCTGCTTGGCGGGATTTTTTTAACAAGCCCGCTCCTACTTAAGTAGGCGCCTACTCTGAGCAGGATAGCTCACGCTTCCTCAAGGAAGCTCCCACTAGCGATTTGGCTACTAGATTTTCACACAATATACACAAGAAACATATGGAAATCCGCCGACCCCTGCCTAGCTGACGCCTAGGCGGGGCGGCGCCCGGGACACCGCAGGGTGAAAAAGTTGCCCAGGCCAACGCCAGCCCGATTTGGGCAGTCTTGTACGCACACCTCTGACTCAGCTGCCAGCCAACTGGGCTGGGCTCGGCCAGGCGACGTTAGGCGCCGAGGCATTTTGGCTGGCTGCGGCTCGGCCTGCACCTCTTTTCTTTAGGGTCCCGAAGGCGACGTGCCAGGCAACGTCAGGCACTTTGGCTGGCTGCGGCTCGCCTCGTGTTGGTGTGGAAATAGATTGCGTCGTTCGCTACCCCGGAAACCCCCTGCTGGCACTGGCCAACGCCAGCCCGATTTGGGCTGGCTTGTACGCACACCTATGACTCAGCTGCCAGGCAACTGGGCCAGGCCAATTTTGCCTGGCTGCGGCTCGGCCTGCGCCTCTTTTCTTTAGGGCCCCGAAGGCAACGTGCCAGGCAACGTCAGGCACTTTGGCTGGCTGCGGCTCGCCTCTTGTTGGTGTGGAAATAGATTGCGTCGTTTGCTACCCCGGAAGCCCCCCGCTTGCACTGGCCAACGCCAGCCCGATGGCTGGCTTGTACGCACACCTATGACTCAGCTTAAAGAAAAGAGGTGCAGGCTGAGCGGCAGCCAGCCAAAATGCGTAACGTCGCCTGGAAAGGCAGCGGCGTGGCCTGGTCCAGTTGCCTGGCAGCTGAGTCATAGGTGTGTGTATAAGCCAGCCCAAATCGGGCTGGCGTTCGCCAGTGCAAGCGGGGGGTTTCCGGGGTAGCAAATGACACAATCTATTTCCACACCAACAAGAGGCGAGCCGCAGCCAGCCAAAGT